CACCTTCTCCACACAGCCAAGCCAAAACCCCGCAGGCGCTGCCGGCTGTGGCCATGGAAACTGCGGGTTTAAGCGCAGGGCTCCCCTGGCGTTGTGCAGCTATGCCCATCCATATTAGCTGGAGATCTGTCCGCTGATTTATGATGGAAGCACTAACAAACCCTTAAATGTGGCACGGCAAATAGCAGCATTATACCAGCACCATGGCATGGGAGGCAGAGGCTTTCTATTGCTCCCCAAGGATTTGTTTAAGGACAAGAACCATGATGAATACAGCCTGGGTGGCTCAATTACTTGGGGACTCAATTACTTAAAACAAAGAAACTGGATGAAAAAAGTACGACAAAAATTCAAAATTATTTCTCTGCTGGAGGTCACATATAACAGCCCTGTCATCCATAAATCTGGAAATCTCTAAGGCATGCTACTCCTCTGTTGAGAGATGACAATTAATTGGTATTTTACTTACCTCAACCATGCAAATTATGCAGGGAAAAATTCTAATTACTGCATGCTACATGTATATAAGGTCAAAGTGGGCCAGCTTTTGACAGTGGTGTAAAACGGATTATGTTTATCCTTCACATGAGGGCCATGATCCTGCATGAGCCACGGGGCTCCTGCCCCCCACCGCTTGTAGGGACCATGCCGGCGTCAGTGAGGCTGCACGGGCACAGCTGTCCCTTGCAGGAGGGATGGATTGGGCAAATGCACAACTGGGGAGCAAACACAACGCGAGGTCGGGGGAAAATGCAAAGTGCTTCAACAAGCAAGAAACAACAGTGTGGGGAGCGATGGGGCTTGCATTTGGCCATAAGCAACCCAGTGCCTCCCTGAAGCAGGCACTCCCGATAAAGCTCCCCAAGTTTTGTCTGAACAGGATTCCTCACTCTCAAAAACATGGGGATCCTGCCTTCTGGCAACACTTTGTTTCTCTGGAAGGATTTTAGGGGGCAGAAAGGGGAAGACAAGACATTTGGGCACAGGGCTTCTTGCTGGCGAAGGGAGCCAAGGCCATTTATGCACCCTGATGGAGACCTGCAGTCCCACATGGGGGCCGAGCACGGGGACTCAGGACCATGCCAGGACATGCTTCCGACCACCTCAGCAGTGGGCGATCGCCACTGGATTGCAAACAGGTCACAGCTTGCACCAAGCCCCTAAGGCTGGGACGGCAACTTACCCAGGAGTCCAGGGTTGGGAAACCTCCAGGAGTCATTGTACGTTGAATATTGTGGGTGGCTGTATGGGCTCCCAGAAAACTCACTCCCTAAGTTAAAGAGAAAAAGACAAAACAAAAGATCATTTTATTTGAGACCACAGTTACTGTTGTAAGGGAAAGGAGCTATTCAGTGCACTGTGCCAGCCATTCAGTGCCACTGCTGGCCACCCTCTTTGAGGAAGGGCAAGATGGGTGGGCAAATTATTAAATAAGTGGGTGCAGTCATCTTTTACACATCCTTTTTGCATTGCAGCCCAGGCCTGTTGAGCTGGTGGGATTTTCTCAGGCAGTCTGTGCTGCAGGAGCGAGACAGCAAGGCGGGATGGAGAGGAGTCTGGGACACACCGACAGGACTGGCCCTTGCCTCCACAGCCCTACAGCACTCAGGGCAAGTAACACAATACGAGGACAGGGCTGCTCAGACAGGCTCTCTGCCAGGAAGAGAAGATGAGCCAGCTAATTTTCTAGATACCCTTCCAAGCTCTCCAGAACATGGTCTTGGTCGCAGATGTCCACCCATCACTGCAACCCAAGGAGAGGGATGCTTGCTTCAGTTTCAGATGGCTTTGAAACCCTCCAGACAAAGGCACAGAAAAGGTTTGAAGAGTTATTGCTATTTATCTCCTCACCGGCTCCCGCTCTCCCCATCTGTTTGTTCTCTTCACATGTCACCTCCCATTTCATACTTCAGCTGCAAGCTCTTCAGGACAGAGCCTTGCACCATGGGGCTCTGACCCTGGTCAGGGCACCCGGCTCCACCACCATGCAAATACCAACACTGCTGCTGATTTATTAGGAAATCTTCCACGAATGACAGTTTTCCGCTCTCCTCCTCTCTTTCTTCTTCCTCTCTTTTTCCCTCTCTCATACACAAATATATGCACGCACAACACAGCACGGCAGGAGAAAGAGGAGGTTTCCTACAGCAAGAGGAGGAGAGGGCTACCAGGCTGCAGCAGAAGATCCTCACTGTGACCTTCGCCTGTTCTGGTCCTCGGCGCTGGTGTAGCCCGCGCCCCAAACCCAGGGGCTGCCTTTACCCCAGCCGAGCGGCAGACCTCTGCCGCCACATCTCCAGCTCCCTGGGCTCAGCACCCCCAGCCAGCATGACCCACAGACCTGCCCTGGGGACGACGACCGGGTCCCCAGGCCCATGAGTGGCCTTCTTGCTTAGGTTTTGGCAAGTTGCTGAGCCACTGGCCCCAGGGGAGAGTGGACGATGCACTGGTCAAGGCATTGCAACCCCACTGCACTGTCTGTCGAGGGGATCTCTCATCTGCGATAGCACCTGTGCCTGCTGTGCAGTCCTGGCAGCCGCTGCGGCCACCTGCAAAGGTATTTTCTGCCAATACAGAAATAATGCCGGTTGGTGACAAAATTTAGGGTTGGGTCCAGGGTAGCTTGGTCTCCATGTGATGCTGCTTCAGTAAAAATGAGCTGCCTCTCAGCCTACACCAAAGGACACCAGTAAACACGCTGAACGTGCTGATGGTAAGAGCCGCCTATCACTGGTTTGCTCCAGGTGGTCTCCGTTAACAACCCTTCTCTGTTCACCACAGCTCTTCAGACCCGTAGGACTGCACCCACCAGCCTCAGCCTGCTCTCTCCCTCCCAACCCAGTGTCCACGGACAGGGCAATGAGATGAGGTCTGAAGCCAGCAGCAGCAAGCGCTTCCATGCTCAGCACGCCTTGCTGTTTTGACCACATTTCTGCACAAGCTCAGAGAGGGTTTTCATTACTGCTTCTAAGGAATGGCATTAATTCACCACAAGCCATGGAAAACGGAGCTGTTTCTAAACGTTTCTTCCTGGTGAAGTACATTGTATCTATCTTTCCTCTCTGCTCCCTGTCCTGGATGACAGATGACTTCAGTACTTGAAGGTTACCTCTGTCACAGTGCTCACTCTAGAAGAGTGAGGCATGGTGAAGATGGTGAAGCCAGAAGAGATGTCAGGAGCCACCCGAGGTACCAGGGCCACTGGCAAAGGCATCCCCATTGCTTTCCACCAGCCAGTGAGCAAGGTCCTTCTGGCAGGACAGAGTGGCTCCTCTCTGGTCCCTTCTTCTGCTTCCCCACTGCTACACCTGAGGCTGTCTGCTCAGCCAGAGCCCTCCCTGCTCGCCCCCTGTTCCCAAATCCCCTCAGTTTCCAGCAAGTGTCTGACCTGGCTCTGCTCTACTGGTGTTTGCCCAAGCCTGCAAAGCGCATGGGCAGCAAACTGGCTGGTAATGTCACAGGTGAGTGATATGATCTTTCCCAGTCCTTGAAGGGTCACGGCCAGGTCCTCCTTCCAGTGTGTGCTGCACAAAAATCCCTTCATGCTGTGGGTGCCTCTTCTACGGGGAGGGGCTCGCACACTGCCTATCCCAATGGTTTCATCTCTTCCTTTCCACAGGGCAGCGAGAAATGCAGAGGTTTAGCCCTGTTTTAGTTGCACAAAACAGTTGCGCTGTCTGACTGACACGACACGCGAAAGCCGATGGGAGCAAGTCTCACTGCTCTGTCCTCCCCTGGAGCTGCGTGGTGCACGGACAGAGGGACAGGGTGGACAGGACAGCAGGACAGACCCCGATCCCCACTGTGGGCTGTTTGCACAGGGTGTGCAGAGGAGCCTGTCCAGCTCCCCCATGCACTGGTAGCCCCCCAGGCTTTGAACGAAGCTTGCAGCTAGCCGCTGCACCCCTGCAAGAGCTGCGCGTCAGGGAGGGCACGTGTAGCCATCCAAGGACAGGACAAGCCCTCATTTTCAGCTGTCCCACCACTCTCCCTCCCTCCTCTTTGCACCCACCACTCCCCTCTCCCGTCCTCCCAAGGCTGCAGAGACCCGGTCTGTCCCGTGCTGACGCTGCACACACCTCTGAGCAGGCGGCAGCGCTTTCTAAATGCTCATCAGCGCTGCGGCAGGGCTGCGGGTGGGAACAGGCTGACATTTCATTGTTTCATCCTCTCCTGCCTTGCTCTCCTCCCCCACCATCCCCATTGCCCTCCTCCCCACACTCACACACAGACACACATCGTGGACCCTCTCTGGGGGATGCTCCGGTGCCTGTCAGGCTGAGGCTTCCAATTCTCTGTTTTTTATGCCTCAGTGGTCAGGGTGTCAAGCTCCTGCAGTACAGACCAGCCAGGAGCTCGAGGAGTCACTGAGCACCATCAGCTCGGTGACAGTATTGCTTGCTTCTTAACATACTCTGCATATCCATCAGCCTTACAGGAAAAAAAAAAGAGAGAGAGAGAAGGGGGGCAGGAAGGAAAATGAGAGAAAAGAAATACGAGAGAAGGGAGGGGAAAAGGAGAAGTGGGGGAGAAAGTCTCAAGTCCTGCTACTGCCATCGCAGCACTTGGGCAGACAAATGGTACAGCCATAAGTGAAACTAAGCTAGATGAATGAACGCTGCATGAATGCCTCGTGATTTCCACCAGATATTCCAAGGTCCATCAGCTACACTTCTTGACAGCACTGCTTAGTGGCCAGCCCTCTAAAAAAGGGTAGCACCCCAGGCTTTGAACGAAGCTTGCAGCTAGCCGCTGCACCCCTGCAAGAGCTGCGCGTCAGGGAGGGCACGTGTACCCATCCGAGGACAGGACAAGCCCTCATTTTCAGCTGTCCCACCACTCTCCCTCCCTCCTCTTTGCACCCACCACTCCCCTCTCCCGTCCTCCAAGGCTGCAGAGACCCGGTCTGTCCCGCGCTGACGCTGCACACGCCTCTGAGCAAAAAACATTCAAAAACACATTCAAAAACACAGCGAGTCAGCTACCCAGGGATGCGCACACGTGCAGCATGTTGCACACACATGCATGGTGCCTGCCCGCACCACAAGAAGGGGTGAAACAGTAAGCCCCCTCCTTAGTAATTCTGGCATCATTGAGACACAAAGACACCAAACCAAGAGCTTCTGCCAGAGTTAGCCCACCTCTCACTGCAGACCTAACTCCACACTGCCACGGTGCTTTATGTGGCTATAGCCCAAAAAGGGTCAGACCCCACCCCTGTCACCACCAGAGGCAGAGGTGCAGGGGAGGAGGGAAGAACGATTCCCAGTAATGCTGCTGCTACAAGACAGCAGCAAGCCCTGGGAGATGCACTCTACCCTGAGATGGTGGGACAGAGGCATAGCCCCCTTGCCTACAGGGTGAGCCCCAGGGGCGGCTGCAAACAGAGTCTGAAGGTGGTGGATGGACCCTCTGCTGCAGGCAGAACAGCATTATCTGTCCCGCAGCACCACGTTGTCCGTTCTGCAGCATTTTCTCTGGGGATTATCGACTCGTGTTTACCAGTCTGTTTGGTTTTAAGGTAAGCTTCCTGCAAGTTTCCTTTGTGATGTGCAGAGAAACTGAAAAGTATGAGCTTAAAAATCTCAGGAACCAAGAAATGAAGAAAGATTTCATGGTGTCTCTCAAACTGCCATGGCTTTAAAGAACTGCCTCTGCAGGGGATGGGGGAAGATGCAGGCACCCCTGTGCACTGGTGCTGGACTTGGAGCAGCAGGGTGCTGGAAACCCTCCTCCCCTGCCAAAAGGCAGAAGGATGGGGCAGACAGGCAGAAGGGACAGCAGACACCGTCGGACGGCTGGCTGCACAGTGGGACAGATCCAGAGTCAATCTCAGCCAGCTTTGGATCTTGGCAGGTGAGAGGGGGATGCAAATTACTTGCCATCTAATTTTTTTTAAACTTAGATGCTGTAACCATAGAGTAACGTAAGTTGGATTGGGCTTTTGTGGGTTATCTGCTCCAAAGCCCTGCTCAAAGCAGGGCCAGCTTTGACATAGGTCATGTCCAGCCAACGTGTGGAAATCTCCCAGGATGGAGATTTCACATCTTCCCTGGGCCCCTGCTCCAAAGCCTGGCCACTGTCACAGCCCTACCACCATTCGCCGCACAGAGCACCCGGCTGCAGTCCCATTAGGTAGCACAACAGTAATGAATGTGTCCTTTAGCCTTGTCTTCTTAGGACCACATGGCACTTAACACCAGCAGAAACCAGCAGCCTAGTCAAACATGGAACATGCTCGTTACCCAGCTGCTGGTACCTTTGGACTGA